TTGCAACTATTACATTTTCTCCTACACATATACCATCACGGTTTTACGTAAACTTCAATTATTACTTATTTACTGCTTTTATAAATAAAATAGAAGCACAGCATTTAAAGTATATAATGAGTGGACTTATCAAAAAACTATTTTCTTATGGAATATAAAAGACTTAAATTATTTCTATAAATAATATTAATAAATCTAATATCACATTTGATATTATAGAATACCAAAAAAAAATATAAAGTAATTCTTGAGTGACCGAAATTACAATAATAACATTATAATTAATATTTATCATTGTACTTTTTATGAAATATATATAGTATATTATATAGTATAGTATATAGTAAATTATATAGTATAGAATAAATATAATGATATAATAATAGTTAGATACTAATTATAATATATACTATAATATATTTAAATAAATAAATAATTAAAATTTATTGTTTATTATATATAATTATTTTATCATTACTATAAGCGGAAAATCCTATGTAATAGCTGCAATTTTTTTTTATAAATACTTCAAAAACTGTAATGGAAAATTATTCAGAATGATATCCTTGACAACATTTATCAAAATTACAGCTATTTCTATAATTATTTATAATATATAAATAATTATTTTCTTTTTCTGTAATTTTGAAAGAAAGATGATAGAAATGATAGTATTGTTAATGTTAATGTTGAAATAATTTACTTGTATTGTTATTGTTAAGGTAACTCAATCTCATTTGCCAAGAATCGGTCCACGTTTTGCATCAATTGGAGGTGGCTATGAGGCTCTATTAACACCACCAACAAAGCAATCGAATTTGATACTTCCTGAAGAACAAAGAAGATGCAGTTCGGTAACATGTAGCAGCACTGGGAGTAGTTATCTCGAGAGAAGAGGATCTGTGATGCCAGTACCATGTTTGCCGCTTCATTCTACGTTTTCAACTAAATACACTATCCATGATGAACCCTGGGATCTTTATTATCCCATTGATATTCAAGTAAACATTCAAAATTATTCATTAATTATTTCTTTTGTTTAATTAAAATTATTTGTTAATTGCTAGTTAATGTATTAATTATTGCCAGGTAATTAATTGCGATTTTGCAATAGTGATGATGTACAATTTAACAGATTTATATTATATTTCTTATAATTTATGCACACAAGTGTATGACATTGAAAACAATTAAGTTATCGAATTATTTAGGTAAATCAAATAGTGTCACATTACTAATTGGATCAAAAAATACTTTAATTTTTATTCTCTTTTTGCCAACAAGATTTTAATTATTTAAAATTGAAATTATTGTATATTATATTAGTATAATATTATATAAAATTGTTATGAAAATTTAAACATCGACAATAAATAATAACAAATTGGTAAATATATTAGTAAATAGAAAAAATGCAACATAATGATAATAAAATTCAGTTAATCTAATAATATCTAATTTAGATGTATATAAAAATTTAAACACTTTAAATAACATTTTACTAAAGATACATGTAACTATCGATGAATCTTTCGGAGATATTAAAAAATTTCTGATATTGTACTATTGAATTCTATCTATATATGTGCGTCCGTGAGAGCATATATATTAATATTTTTTCCTAATATTTATGATAGGACGAAATCAACGAATAACTTGTCATAATTATTTTATATATATTTAAATTATATATGAATTTTTAAATTCATATAATTTCGTTCGTTAGACTGTAATTTCAAAAGATCTATTTCGTTAATTTGGAGAATTGATAAAAGTGAATCATAGATTTAAAGTTTCAGCTTTTGATATTAATTTCTGAGATATTAATAAAAAACTTTCGTTGATACATAATTGAAAACTGTAATTAATACAATAATTTTTAAAACCGTTTCAATCTTTAAGTACCGAGGATTACATCGGTTTCATATAAGATAATCAATCTAAAATTCAGTAAAAATCTAATCATTCATTCTTAAAAAATTAAAAGTTTGATTTATCAAATTCTAACTAATAATATCAAGCATGAGCAGGATTAAAGAAAAATTAAATAAAATTATTTGATGTATAAATATAGCAATTGCTATTATTTTTGACAAAAACAATCTTGTAATGGATATGGAATTAGATTAGAATTTAAAATCTGTTAGAAGATTGCCAATATTTGTGATTTTAGAAGCAAAAACTATTAATTTTATATAGCATATAAAATATAATCTTAATTATTATATTATATTAATTATAAAATTAATTATTAGACAATTGATAATAAGTTCTATAGTGAAGACAGAATATTTGTATACAGAATTCGATATATAGTATTAAAAGTTTTTTTTATTAATATCCTAAAAACTAATAAATATACGAATAAATAATATAAATAAAATTTTATACTTAGGATTTATTCCATTCTCTCTACAATCTCTAAAATTTTAGATCGATCAATTTTTTAAAACTTTATTCGTTAATTATTTTGAATATTCTATTCTTAGTATGAATATAATTTTTATATATTTAATAGTATATACTAAATAGTTTCAAAAAATCATTTCAAAAAAATGATTGAATAATAATAGATTACTCGATTAATTTATGAATGAATTCTGATTTATCCTATTATAATAATCAATAAATTTACTCATTGTTTCTATTAAAACTGAAGAAAAAATTATAAATATATGTATATAAAAAAAATAAAAAAAATATCTATAATATAGTATATTGAGAACTCTGAATTCATCTTTTGTTTATAATTTGTATAAACAGCATAGAAAAATAATATATAATAAAGTACGATAGGAATAATTATATTGAACTAATTGTTTATGATACAGATGCACATATATAAATAAAGTTTATCAAAAGATATCAAAAGATTTTCAATATGTCGAAAACTCGAGATGAACGGTGATAATATATATAGAAAAAAGTTGTGAAAAAATCGGTACTGTATTATATTTTTTCAAACAGTTATCTAAAATTTCATATGTTAACATTGATATACGGTATTATAATAATTTGATATTAATATTTAAAATGTTGAATGAAAATTTTTATAATTATATAAGTGTAAAGGTATATTTCATCGATTTTGATGATTTTTAAATGTGTCATAAAAGACGAGATTTTGAACTAGTTCGTAATTATCTAAAAAGACAAATTATTATCGATTTAGATGATTTTAAAATGCAGACAATTTCTATATAATACAGCATTCTTACAACATTCGTTTTAATGATTTGAAAATTGGGGAAAATTTTCTTGTAACATAACATTTTTATAATATTATTTCATTTTAACATGATTCAAAAATTGAGGAAAAGCCCCCAAAAAATTTCAAAATTAAACAAATCCTCAAACAACAAAGGATATGATGATAACTTTTAAGAGTAAGCATCATCTCATTTTTTCGATATTTTTTCGATATTAGAGCGTATCAGATATGTCATATCATTTGAGATAAATTATATTAATTAATCAGATGACGGCAATACAAACAGAAACGAAGTTAAATATTTTATTCTAAAATATATCAATAAAAAATTATATTTAGTCGAACAATTGGAATTATATTTTCTAAATAAAAATTTTTTCATTAAAAGAAACACAAAATTTTAAAGAAAATTTTACAAGTGCTTAATTCACATACAATAAAATTTATAAAGATTTTTCAGCTAAAAATAAATAGTTGAAACAGATTTTTTTTATAAAAAATAGAGCATAGAATTCAAGATATTGAAAACTTAGAAGATGAAAATTTTACCAAAAAAAAAAATATCTTTGTTTAATATGAAGTAATAGTAGTAATATATATAATATATATAGTAATAGTAGTAATATGAAGTAAATGATGAAAAAAATTGTATGTATGATAATTACAAAAAAATTAATAAAAAATGTACAATATTATAATATAATATTTTTGATCAATTATTGTTTTAATAAACATTAATAAACATTTCTTGTAGTTATAAAATGAAAATAATAGTTTTTTTTTTAACTTTTGAAACTCATCTTATTTTTTGTATTAATTCTTCATTTCGAATTCTCATAACACAATATTTTTTAGAAAATGTGTTTGATGTGTTTATATATTATCACAGGAATTGCCTATATATACAAAACAAGATTTTGAACAATTTTTTCTTATACATACATTTATAGTTAATATTTATTTATTAGAAACTTAACTTCTGTGAATTCTTGGAATGCAAAAGTAAAATATAACAATTCTTGAGCGAAATTTTAATGAACAAAATGATAAATCCTCTATAAAAAATGAATATATATAGTAGCATATATTTTTTATAAAAAAAAATATCTCAAAAATTAAGAGTAACAATCGGTTATATGTATAGAAAAAATTTGCATAAAATCTCGTTCTTTATAATTTAAAAATCATTAAAATCGATGAAATCTTTTTTATATACTATATATAATTATCAACATTTCATTCTTCATTAATTTTTGATATTATTTATTTATAGGTAATTCAACCAACCCCAGAACTTTCTCCATGCACAAGTGAAGCAGGTCTTTATGCGAAAGACGTGATGATCACAGGAACTAACGGTAAAAGAGCACCATTGGCTTCCATGGGCAGTGTTGATCCTCCGGAAGCAGATTCGAGGTTACCGATATATCTATATAGAATATATAATTTTGGGTAAAATTTTAAAAGATCTGGCTGATCGATAATTTTGGAAAGATGATAGAGAAGATAAGGTGGATTTAAATATAAAATTTTCGATTTAATTAATTAATTACTTTCCAAGGTATTAATAAAAATCATATATTGCAACCTATCTATTACTAATATAATAATAACATTAATTTCGCTATAATAATAACGTTATCGATTGTCGAATAATTATTGACACCATTATATGTTAAAAAATATTCCAAAAATATGGAAACATTGATTAATTTGAAATTTCTGAGATAATTTCAGACAATATTTTCTTTTGCAGAAAATTTCATTTTAGCTTTATTAACGAGTTATTAACAAAAAATAATTAAAATCAATTAGAACATGAGACTGGTTGAGTTGGTCATTAGTTATATGCTATTAGCTGCGATCAATAATAAACTCAATAAATAAACTCAAATAATATGTTGAAGAGAAACATTTTAATATATATAAATATTTCTTTACTAAAAAAAATTACATGGAATTATATCTTATTCTATTTTAACAACAAATAAATTAATTAATTGTTATTCGCATAAGATTGATAAATCTACTTCAAAATGCAAAATTATGATAAAAATAATGAATATATAGATATTATATACATATATGTATATATATATATATATATATATATATATATAGTAGTTAGTTAAT